CAGCCCCTTCCCATGCCCCCATCCCTTTTCCATGTCCCCCCATCCCTTTCCATGTCCCCCATCCCAGCTCCTGTGCCAGCTGGCAGCTGAGTCATCCCTCAGACCTGCTCCCCCTCCCTGTGGTCCCGCCTGAAGCTTTTGGTCCCCTGGGAGCAGCTCCCGGCCCCGGGACCCTCCTCTGCCCTGCAGGTCTGAGACCCCTCAGAGCCGCTGCACCCTGGGCTGGGGGAGGGCAGAGGGTCTCCCTGGGACACCCCTCAGGGTGCAACCCCCTCCTGGCTCCTGTCCCTGCGCCCCCAGCGTGTGCGGGGCCATGGCCACGGGTGAACTGACCGAGCTGGAATTGGCCATCGAGAAGATCATCGACGTCTTCATCGCCTGCGCGGGCAAGGAGGGCAGGAAGGGCACCCTGAGCACCAGCGAGTTCAAGGAACTGGTCCAGCTCCATCTGCCCAACCTGATGAAGGTGAGGTGGGGAGCACCCTGAGGGGGTGGCTGGATCCCCGTGGAATCTCCCAGAGCTGTGGGGCTGCTCGGGATCCCCTGGGATTTGTGCTCAGGAGCCTCCCCGTCCCCGCCCCGCTTGCCGGGGGTCGGGATGTGGCTGATCCCGTGTCCCCACACAGGACGTGCCCTCTCTGGAGGAGAAGATGAGCGAGCTGGACTTGAACAACGACGAGGAGCTGAGATTTGGGGAGTTCTGGCGGCTCATCGGGGAGTTGGCCAAGACCATGAGGAGAGAGAAAATGGGGAAGAAGTGACGGGGCCATGGGAGACTCAGCTGACGTGGAGCAAATAAAAGAGGTTTCCCTGAGCCTGAGCAGTGCTGTTGTTCTTAGGGGGGATCCCAGTTTGGATCCCACATCCCCTCCCCTGCCCGAGGCGGTGCTGGGGATGGGCCCAGCCCGGGGTGGTGGGTTTGGGGACTCTGATGGATGGGGGTGTTCCCAAATTGCCCCTGTGGTGGTCTGGCTTTTGGGGTGCCACCTCACACCCCACAAACACCTTCCTGCCGCGCTGTGGGGTGGGTGGGAGGCAGAGATGTGGCTGGGACCGGGGTGGGGCTGAGGAGCAGCTCTGGCAGTGATGCCACAGTGGCCACTGTGGCCATGGTGCCACCACCTCCACAGCATCAATGGCCAGCCTCTCTGGGGTCTTGGGTGGCACAGGGGGACACATCCACCTGCACAGCTTGTCCCTGGCTTGGGAGTGTCCCCATTCCCGGTTTTCAGCTCCCAAATCCCGATGTTACTGGGACATGGTGAAATCCAGCAGCACAGTGGGTCCCTGGCTCGGGAATGTCCCCATTCCCAGTGTTCAGCTCCCAAATCCCAGTGGTGCTGGGATATGGTGAAATCCACCAGCACAGCACAGCCCTGGCTCGGGAATGTCCCCATTCCTGCTGTCCAGCTCCCAGACCCCCAGCAGGGACACGGTGAGACCCCATCACGGGGTGACCCATCCCGTGACCCTCCCGAGCCGGGGGTGCCCGGTGGCCGTTCCCACGCGGTGCTGCCGTGCCGGGCTGGCTGGGGGAGCCCTGGATGTGGCCGGGAAAGGAGGCGTTTCCCGGCCCCACGCTGGCCCCGGGCCAGGCTCCGAAATGAGCACCGGGAGCTCCCACTCACACCTCCCGCGGTATAAAACGCCGGTGCAGCACAGCCCGGCACACCCGCCCAGCCCGCGGAGCAGGTAAGTGGCCCCTCGTGGGCCGAGGGTCTGCGCTCGGGGTCTCCCCCGCGCTCCCACGCTCGGCTCTGCCGCGACTTGCCGGGACGCCGCTGCCGCCGGGACGTGTCCTGGCAGCTCACCTTCCTCCGGGATGAGGAGGAGTCCTGGGAGATCCCTGAGAGCCGAGAGCTGAGCTTGGCTTTCCTCCTCCGACAGCTCCCCCGGATCCCATCGCAGAGGAGAGACTCCCCCCCCCGGTGCCACCGAGGACCCCCCGGACGCCGCGAGGAGCAGGATGGGCCAGTGCAACTGCCGCAAGAAGCGCAAGGTCCTCGAGCGACGCCGGGACCCCCGGCGGGGTGTGGGGTGACCCCACATGTCCCCACCCCGGGGGCACAGCCCTGACTCTGCCCCATCCCGGAGCCAGAGTGTGGTGGAGGAGCTGGGGGCTGTTTTGGGATTTAGACTCGCTGTCTCGGGCAGGGGGACCTGGTGCTGCGGGTTTGGAGCCACTCGGGAGCTCAGGGAAGCAGGCAGCCTTTTCCAGCTGCCGGGGATCCACCTTCGGGAGCTGCCCGTGCTCCCTGGGGCCTCTGCGAGGATGGAGAGGAGCAGGAAGGCTCCTGTTTTCCTCGGCTTTTAACCCAGAGGTGTCCATCCTGCACCCCTTTGCACCTGTGGAGGATTTAGGGCGCCGGGATGAGGCTCTGGAGGTTGCCAAGTCCTTCCTAATGGGCATCACCCGATGCGGTTTTGAGGGAAAACCGCAGATTTGAGTGAATCAGCATCGGCTCCCTCCGAATGCAGTGGCTGGAGAGCTGGGCACGGGGGTTGTGCCAGTCTGTGCCCCCCACCCCGCTGGGAACAGGGTCTGCTGGGGTGGGAGAGGGGCTCTGGGATCTGCCAAACCCCATCCCAGGCGTCGTCCCGGGCACTGACTCATCGTGCCATTGCCACTTGTGCCGAGGAGAGGAAGAACCAGTCAGGACGGCGCGGCCCCCACGCCGGGGGTGTAGCTGAGACGCCAGGGTGGCTGAGCCTCGGGGGGCCCGGGCAGGGAGGGGGCCAGGAAAGGAGATTTGGGGGGTGACAGGCCCGCAGGGAGGGGTGGTGGCAGCTGGAGGGGGTCTTGCAGCCCAGCAGGGCCGGTGTGGAGCGGTGGAACATCTGTGTGGAGGGGTGGAACATGTTTGTGGAGAGGTGGAATATCTGTGTGGAGTGGTGGAATATCTGTGTGGAGTGGTCTTGTGCCTGTATGGGGGTCTCAGGTGTGGACAGTGGGCCCTGACATCTCTAGAGGGGGTCTCACACCTGTATGAGGGGTCTCACATCTGGACAGTGAGGTTCACATCTGTATGGGGGGGTCTTACACCTGTGCAGAGAGGTCTAGTGTTGATAAGGAGCTTTATCCCATCACTGGAGGCTCCTCAGGGAGTGTCCCACATACTGAGGGCTTGTCCTGTGCACCCTGGGGTGTCCCATCCCTCTGGGGAGGGGTCCCATCCCTCCAGGTCACTGTGCCCCCAGTGCTCACCCCCTGTGCCCCCCCAGGACTGCCAGGAGCTCACGGACGTGGAACGGGCCATCGAGACCGTCATCAGCCAGTTCCACTGCTACGCAGTGAAGGGGCAGAAGGAGTACCTGACCCCCAACGAGATGCAGGAGCTGGTGGTGCAGAAGCTGCCCCACCTGGGCAAGGTGAGGGCAGAGCCCTGGGCTGGGCAGGAGGGGCTGGGAGAGGCACAGGACCCCACATCCCCCTCACCCCGATGTTTTCTCTGCCCCCCCTGCAGTGTGTGGGACCACTGGAAGAGAAGATCGAGTGCATGGGAGACCCCAACGAGGCCAAGCTGGAGTTTGGAGAGTACTGGGACATGATGGGGGACGCAGCCAAGGGCTGCAGGAGGAAGTAGGAGCTGGTGGGGGACGGGAAGGTGTCCGAGGCCTCAGGCTCTGCACCGAGGAGTGTGAGGGGCAGCGGGGCCCGGTGGGATGAGCCTGGGAAAAAACAACATTGCTCCTGCCAGGGCTCGTCCCCTCCCGCCGGGGTGGAGGAATCCCCCTCCTCAGCCCTATCCCTGCCCTCTCCCAGCTCTACTTCCCATCAGGAAACCCCCTTCCCATCCCCAGCTCCGTGCCATGGCGGGAGGGAGGTGGCAATGGGGGTTCCTGACCTGGCTCCGGAGCCTTTCTCCGTCCTTTTGCTCCAGGGCCTTCATCCCTGGGGTTGTCCCACCTCCAGTCCTGGAAACCCTCCGGCTGCAGGACCCCCAGCCCTGGAGGAGCATCACAGAGAGAGGGACTCGGCTCCTTTCCCCCCAAAACCCCCTTGGAAGTGTGGGCTCATCCCCCCAGCCCCGTGCCCTGGCACCCGAGGGCACCTCCGGGGGCATCCCGGGCTCTGCCATGGCCGTGGGTTGGTGCACGTGGCCTGGGTGTATTCCCTGCTGTCCCCCCGGTGCAGGGACCAAGGTTCTGGGGGCTATCCCGGGATGTGCTGCCCTCCTGGTGCTCCCCATCTCCAGGGATTGTGGCCCCCGGGCTCGGGGCTGGGGCGGGGGCGGGTTGGTCTCAGCTTGTGCCACTTGCAACCATTTTTGTATAAATTAATAAAGGAAAACACTGGAAAAAAAAAACAACCAAACAACCGAGATGGGGTGACCTCGTTTGTCCCTGGTGGGGGGGGAAAGTGGGGGGAAAAGGGGGGTGGGGGGGCTGCAGGGTCGTGGTGCTGAGGATCATTCTGGATTGGGCAGAGCATGGGGGTGCAAAGAGGGCTGTGGGTGTGCAAGGGACCCCAGAGGTGTACAAGGATTGCTGTGGGTCTGTGGGACCCCACGGGTGTGTGGGGACACGTGGGGGTGTGTGACCCCGTGGGTGTGTCAGGACACTGCAGGGGTGCACAGGGCTTCCACATTCCCAGTTCCTGGGATGATGGTGCCTGGTGGTCCCAGCTGTGGGGTCTCCACAAGCAGAGCAAGGGCCATGCTCTGGACAGGCACCCCAAGGGCTTTGGGAATGTGATTCCCTGCTGGACTGGAGGGAGCTCGGAGGAGATCCCGAAATTCTGGGCTTGGAAAGAGCTGAGAGCTGTGAGCCAGCAAGATCCCACCTGTGCTGGGAGAATGTGGGATTTGGGGCTGATTACAGCAAATTGGGAAAGAGCAAATGGCACAAAGCTGTGGCTCCCTGGGATGGGGCAACTAGTGAATGGTGAGTGAAGAAATGGGCTGGAGAACCTGGTTATCCCACCTTCCCTCTGCCACCGGGCCATTCCCACTGAGCTCCACGTCCTGGAGGTGCAATGGGGACCCCTACAAGGGGTGTCCCAAAGAGGGACAGGCTGCGGGCACCTCAGCAGCACCTTGTGAGGGAAGAAACCAGAGGTGAGCAAACCAAAACTGATCCAAAGCCCAGCGAAAGGCGATAAAAGGCGGCGCTGGGCAGGTCCTGCCGGGCCGGCGGCAGCTCCGGCACCGCGGCTCGGCCACAGGGCCACCCTCTGTCTCCTCTCGGCCTGGGGTGGATTTCACAACGGGAATGACTATTTATTGTTCCTGCCTTGGAAATAAATGCATGGAAATTAAGCAGAAAGGTGTGGCGTGCATTTAATTAGAGACAGGAAATGTGTCAAATGGTCGGGGTGGTGTGGGGGGGAAAGGGGAGCCGGGGCTCCCGGATCCTCTTCCCAGCACCTGTCTGGGAATGTGCCGTGGGAGTGGGGACTTCTGGGTTGCTGAGTTTGTCCCTGGTGTGACAGTGTGCTGTCAGGAGGACAATTCCTGCGCCGTGAGCCATCCCTGATGAGTATCTGGAAAGTTCTTGGAGGTGTTGGGAGCAGCTCAGTCCACGCCGGGGCAGTCAGTGCCCCTCGGTGAGGACACAGCACTGGGCAACTCGCCAAAGACCCCCAAATCCAGGGCTCTGCAAAGGCTCCCTTGGTGCAGAGCTTGTCCAGGAGACACCAAATGCCTCCTGGCCCTTCAGGCCTGGAGCTGGTGGGGACCAGGGGGGACTCCAACCTCACCAGTTGGTGGGAAGTGTTTTGTGATGGGCCGGGATGGTACGTGGCTGCTCCGAGCACACGCACACGCCCTGGATGCCTTGTAAAAATAAGGGCCTGGATGTGGTTGTGACATCTGCCAGCAGAGGAGAGTAATGAAAGCCCATGATTCAGGGGTGAGCTGTTTGCCTGCAGGGTCCGGGAGGGATTCCCACCCTCCCGGGATGTTGCATCAACGAACGACACCGGAGCATCTCGGCCCAGAACAGGTTTTTGCTTCCTCCCAACCGAGATTAGGAAGGAGCCACGGGGAGAGCTGGGATGACACGTTTTTTCCGGGATGGGAGTTCCAGAGGTCCTGGGAGCAGGTGGCTCCTGCCTGTAATAAATCACCTCCTGGTTTGCATCCCGAAATCTGCCCTTCCCGATAACGCCCGTATCTGATCTCGGCATCGAATCTGGGAGACACCAGAGGTGCAATTTGCTGGCACAATTAATTATGGATGGGACTTTACAAGCCCAGCTCCCAGCTGGGAAGAGCCTTGTCCATCCCAGTGCATCCAGACATGGCCAAGAGCTGGGCATGGCCCTGCCTGGAGCTGGTGCTTGTGCTCCCAGGGCCCCCAGACCCGTGTCAGCCCCTTTCACCCACGAGAACAAGTGGTTTTGGTTCAAAAAATGATGTTCCCTGCCTTGCCAGGCAGATCCTGGTGCCAGGGGTGGTTTGGAGCTGGGAGGGTGGTGGGATGAGCTGTGAGATGGAGGAGACAGGCTTTTGGCTGATGCATGGCTGGATGGGTTTGCAAACCCTGGGATCAGGCTGGAATTCTGTGCCTGGCCAACCACCACACCGTCCATCCAGTGGGGTCTTTTGGGGTGGTCCCCAAACACCTCCCCAGCCACGAACACACAGAGCAGCCCCTGGGAAGGAGCTGGAGCCTCCACGGGTCCCAGCTCGCACCAACCCGTCCCGGTGTTGCAATCCCAGGGAGCCCTTTCCCAGGTGAGCCCAGACCTGGGAACGCCCTCGGAACGTCAGGGAGGGGTGGGAGCCTCTTTAAAAACCTGGCTGGGCCTGCGGGATGGGTGCAAGGTGAGCAGAGAACAGGCGACATCAGCTCCCAGCTGCCAAACCGGCGTCAGGTGGACACAGCAGGACCCCCAGAATGAGCCAGGTGAGGCTCCAGTGGAGATTCCAGTTCCCTCGGGATGGGGAAGCCCCTTTTGGGGTGAATATTTAACCAGGAGCAGGCCTGGGATGTGCTCCTGCATGTTGGGTGCTGGAAATCCCCTGAGTCCTTCGGCAGCTCTGCGTGCGGGGCTGGGGTGGAGGGGACTGGAGGGATTTGGGGGATCATGGGGGGGATCTGGGATGGGAGGAGGGTGGTCTGCATCCGTCAGCCTCCACTGTCTCTGGAGAGCCCGACCCGGGGCTGCCAGTGGGGTCTGGCTTCTGGAAAAGGGGAATTTTCCCGTGGTGATGCCGGGCAGGGGGACAGGGAGTGCTGGGGTTGTGTCCAGCTGTGGATCCTGGCTCTGGGCAGAGTGACCATGTGAGGAGGGAGAGGGAGAAAAGGAGAGGGAAAGAAGGAGAGGAAAGGGAGAAGGAGAGGGGAAAGGAGAGGGAGAAGCGACGGGACCGTGGTGGTGGGAGTGGAGCAGCCGGCGAGTCCCATCCTGCCCATCCTGCTCACGTGGTGCCCAGCTGTGCCAGTGTCCCCATGTCCCACCCCGGGGAGAGTGTTCCCATGTCCCACTGTGGTGACAGTGTCTCCATGTCCCACTGCAGTGTCAGAGTCCCATCCTGGTCCCCGTATCCCACCCCAGTGATGTCCCACTGTGGTGCCAGTGCCCCTGTGTCCCACCCTGCTGCCAGTGTCCCCCTGTCCCACTGTGGTGCCAGTGTCCTTGTGTGCCACCCCACTGCCAGTGCCCCCATGTCCCACCCCACTGCCAGTGCCCCTGTGTCCCACCATGGTACCAGTGTCACCGTGTCCCACTGCTGTGCCAGTGTCCCTGTGTCCCCTTGCTGTGCCAGTATCCCTGTGCCCCACCCCGGTCACGGTGTCCCTGTGCCCCCAGCTGGCCCCGGGGCTCTCCGTGGTTGCCGGGCCGGTGCCATGAGTCAGCGGCGGACCAGCCGCCACGATGCCCCGAGGACAGGCTGGGTGCTGGTGGCAGGGGACTGGTGACACCAAATTGGGGTCCCCAGTGGGTACAGGGGTGGCAGTGCAGGGGATGCTCCTGCTTTGGTGCTGCTGGATCCCCTCTGTTGGTGATGAATGACCCAGGAGGAGCCGGAATCTCTGGTGAGCGGCTCTCGTGGCTCTGCCAGTGCTGGGACAGCTCCAAGGCCAGAGTGCCGAGAGCTGGGGATGGTCCCCGGTCCTGGAATGACAGAGTGACCCTGGGCCATGGCAGTGTGGCACAGCAGGGGCTCCCACAGGGACAGGGATGGCCTGGGAGGACACCTGGGGACAAGGACAAGCCTGGGGCTGAGCCTCATGTCTCGTGTCACCACCCTGACGTGCCGCCGTCCTCGGCCTGGGGCTGAACCGGGGAGGATCAGGGCAAAGGGAGGGGACAGGAGCCAAGGCTGGGGCACGGGGCAGGTCCTGCCTGTTCCCTGGGCTGCAAACACCCTCTGGAGATGTCCCCAGAGAGGGGGACAGTGCTGGGCCAACCCTTGGGGCTCCACACAGCCCACCCCGTTGGCTTCTTCCAACACCCATGTGGCCACCGGTGCCACGATGGTCAGTGTTGGAACCCAGGGCTGGTGTAAATCCACCCGGAACAACAGGGAGCAACACACTCCAAGTCCTGGCCACTGACCAGGCAGGAAAAAGCCCAGAGTAGACAAGGTGACGCAGTTCCCGTCGCTGCCTTCCTGGGATGTGGCCGCCGGACCCCGTGACAGGGACCATCCTGTCGGGCCCATCCTGTCGGAGCTTCCTGGCTTGGGCAGCCTCGGGACAGAGGAGAGAGGACGGAGACCCTGGGCAGAGATCAGGCAGGATTGGACCCCCGGGATTTGGGGGGCAGCCTGGGCTGTGCTTGTGGGGGGCTCGGGCGGGCCTGGCCCTGCCCTGTCGGGTTGTTCCTGGAGCCGTGAAGCAAGAGGAGGGTTGGCTGGTAATTCCTGCCCCTGTCCCGCCACAGCTCCCGGCCCCATTCCTGCCTAATGAGCCCTGGGAAGGGCGGCCAGGCCCTGCTCAGCCCCGCGGCCCCGGGGCCATAATTACCACCCAGCCCACGCGCAGGGGCAGCTGCCGGGGGGGCGGGCGGGGTGGGCATGGGGGGCACCCAGGGGTTTTGGGGTGATCCTGGACCATGTGGGGAGGTGAGCACCCAGGCACCACCAGCTATTTGCCTCCCCATGGATTCCAGGCTTTCCATGGCTGATTCCAGGTCGAGTCCATGGCTGGTTCCAGGTCAAATCTACGGCTGATTCCAGGCTGAATCTATATCTGATTCCAGGCTGAATCCATGGCTGGTTCCAGGCTTCCCATGGATTCCAGGCTGAATCCATGGCTGGCTCCAGGCTGAGTCCATGGCTGATTCCAGGTTGAATCCATGGCTGGTCCCAGGCTGGTTTCACCTGCTGGGAGGCTCGTGCTGACCCCAGTGCTGGCGGCAGCGGAGACCCCCTCGCTCAGCCCTGAGCTTTGGGCTGCCACGGGGGGTCCCTCAGCACCGTCCCTGCCCCCTCAGGCAGCGATGTCGCAGTGCACGGAGCTGGAATGGGCCGTCCAGGTGCTGGTGAACAACTTTGACAAGTACTCGAGCCGCTGCTGCTGCTGCAAGAACCCGCGGCGCATCAGCAAGAAGGATTTCCGCAAGATGCTGAGCCGGGAGCTCAACCACATGCTGACGGTGAGCGCGGGGCGGGCGGGGCCGGGGGGGTCCTGCCCCTGCCGCTCCCAGGGGGTCTCCCTGCCCCGCACCCCGGTGTGAGCGGCTCTGCTCCCCCCCAGGACACCGGGAACCGCCGCGCAGCCGACAAGCTCATCTGCGACCTGGACGAGAACAAGGACGGGCGCATCAGCTTCGACGAGTACTGGACCTTGATAGGCGGCATCGCCAGCCCCATCGCCCAGATCATCCGCCAGCAGGAGCAGAGCATCAAATTCACCAAGTAGCCGCTGCACAGGACCCTCCTGGACCCCCCTGCTTCTCCACGACCCCCCCGCTTTGTGCCCTCCCCGAGCCCCAGCTCGCCCCGGGCCACCGCGGCTCCCCAGGGCTCTGCCGACCGAGCCGTGCCGGGCTGTGACGGAGGCGGGACGACCCTGTGGGTGGGATTTGGGGGTGCGAGGCTCCTCCTCGCCGTGGCTGCCCTGCCCTCTTCCCCTTCCACGAGCCCTGTCGGGCGAGAAGCAGGGGGAGAGGTTTTCCCTCATGTGGGACCTGAGTTCCGCCTGTTCTCAGAGCTCCGCTGGCAGAACCCCCGTCACAGCCGGGCCCTCCCTCTCCCCTTGCAGCTCCTCCTCAGAGCGGAGGGTCTTCCTGGGCAAAGGGGGCCTTTCCGCGTGCCCGGGCTGGTGGAGGGAGTGCCCCGGCCGGCGCTCGGGGCTCGGCGCGGCCCCGTCGGGTGACACCCCCGTGTTTATTTATTGCGGCAATAAAATCTGGAGGAGCAGCGGGTGACGCTGAGGCTCTGCCTTCCCTGTGCTCTGAGGGGGCGGGGGGGCCGAGGGAGGGGGTCTGCCCTGTCCCCCACCGCCCGCACAGTCACACCCTGGTGACAACGCCCGTCGCGGTCACCGCGGGGCTGATGGAGCACCACGAGGTGTCAGCAGACACCGCGCACTCCCAGCGCCCACCACACCCCAACCCAACCCTCTGCCTGGGGACAGGGGTGGCGGCCGCTGCCACAGCTCTCCTGGGGGACCCCCTCTGTGTCCCCAAGGGGGTCCCGGGCAGCCCGGAATTACAGCCCCATATTCCAGCGGCTCCGCGGCTGCCCCGACCCCGGGGGGGGGTGTCTCGGGGGACCACCATTCCCGTCCTGCATCCCGGCACATTGCAGACCCCCCCACCCGGGACGGGGACGGGGCAAAGCTGTGCCGAGACCTCCAGGGACCCCCAAAGACCCCCAGGGACCCCCGTGCTCAGCAGGGTTGGGCTCGTCGCGCTCCGCAACGCCCACGGTGCGGGCAGGGAGCCCGAGCCGCTCCGGCTCTTCCGGGGATTTTCCACTGGGAAGGGACTTGGGCGTGGACCTACGAGCGTGGCGGTTGCCCCCCACGACCCCCCCTCGCACGGCAGGGGGGTGACGGCACCGTGAAACCGCGACCCCCATCCCCTCCCAGCCAACCCCTCGTTGCTCTCGTTCCGCTGCAGGAGCATCTCTGTCCCCCCGCCTGTCCCGCTGCCTGTCCCCCCGCCTGTCCCCCCGCCTGTCCCCCTGCCTGTCCCCCTGCCCACGGAGCCCCCTCTGCCCGGCCCCGCAGCTCCGGGGGTCCCCGGAAAACCGGGATTCTCGCCGTGGGAGCGAGGCGGGGCCGCGGCTGAGTCACGGCCGAGGAATCCCCGTGGGGCGAGGGCCGGGCCGTGACTCACCCCGCGGTTTGTGGGGCTGGGCTGGGGCCGCTCCCGCCGCTCCCACGGAATCCCAGCGATCCAGCCTCGATCCTCGGGGTCTCTCCGGAACGGACCCTCAGTGTGGGGGCAGCCAAACCCCAACACCTCATTTCTAGGTGCAGCAAATGGGAACAATACAGAATATTCCCCTTTCTTGTGTCCCTTCCCACCCCTGGGGGGGTGTGGGGGTCAGGGAAGGTCTTGCTGCTCCCTAAAACAGGTCCCCCCATGTGTCCAGCTGTGGAATCCCAGAGAATCTTGGGTGATCCCTCCTCCTTAAGGGTGAGACACCACACAAACCCCCCTGGCATGGCTGATGCCCCCCTGTGCCGTGGTCCTTAACCTCAGTGACCCTCTGTGCCAAGGACAAGGGGATGAGCTCAGCTTCTGGGTGCTCCTGAAGGACCTGGAGAAGGACAAGGACAAGGTGATGGACTGGAAGGAGGATGTGGCTCTCCTGGGGGAGCACAAATCCTGACCCTGTGCCTGGCGCTATGCAGGTGCTAAAGCTCAGGAACCCCCCAGGCAGCACCAAACCCCAGCCCACGGCTCAGATAAATCTGTTGTCACCCCCCTGCCCCAAATATTCCCTTGGACTGGGGTCACCAGGAAGGGATCGCTCAGGACCACCCATGCTGGGGGTGTGAGGGACAGTGCAGTGATGGTTTAGGGGGCACATGGGCTGGTGACCCCACCAGAACCCAAATCCCCCCCCTCTAATGGGATCACACAGCTCGTTAGGCAAAAATGGGGTGCGGGTGAAACCACCGCAGTGGAGCTGCTGGGAAAGCCCGGGGGGGCACGGGGGCAGTGCCACCCCCACGGGGCTATAAATGCCCGTCCTGCCCTGGCTGCAGCATCCTGTGTGTCCTCAGGACTGCTGACCAGGTGAGTCTCTGCTCCTCTTCCTCCCCGCACCCCAAACCCTCCCCGAGGGCCGCGGGGGCTGCAGGGGAATGGCCCGGGCGGGGGGGGGCACAGACCCTGAGCCCCTGTCCTGCTGTGCCCCCCAGGCTGGCCATGGCGTGTCCCCTGGAGCAGGCGTTGGCTGTGATGGTCACCACCTTCCACAAGTACTCGGGGAAGGAGGGGGACAAGTTCAAGCTCAGCAAGGCAGAGCTCAAGGACCTGCTGAACAAGGAGCTGCCCATCTTCGGGAGCGTAAGTGGCCACGAGGGACATCCCTGGGTGACCTTTGGAGGTGCCCAGGGGAGGGTGGGAGGTGTTAGAATGGTGGATGCAGCCCAGAGAAGCCTCGTGCTCCAGGGAGAGCCCTGGGGAGGAGGAGGAGGGATGAGACCAGGAGGAGCTGAGCTGGAGCAGCCTCAGCCCAAAAGGAAATTTGGCTTTTTTTATGCCCCCAGAAATATTTAGTTTGGCAAAGGAAATCCCGCTCTGATTTCCACTTTATAATCATTTTTTTTTAACCCCCAACTTCCCCTTCTTTAAAACCTTGTGGTTTAAATTGGGAGGAGGGAGGAGAAGTTTTTTAGCCCAACTTTTCCACATCCCAGAGGCACATTTGGTGCAGCTGCTCCAGCACTGCCCTGTCACAGGTGCAGCTTTCCAGGCCACCTCCTTCCAAAGGCAAAGGGAAAAACCCTCCTTCCAGGCAGGGGGCAGGGAGCAGGGCTGGAAGGGGAGGTTGGGGACACCCCAAAACCTCTCATGCCCCACCAGAAACAAATGGATGAGGCGGAATTCAAGCGGCTGGTGAACGACCTGGACCACAACAAGGACAGCGAGGTGGATTTCAAGGAGTACGTGTGTTTCCTGGCCTGCATCACCATGGGCTTCAACGACTTCTTCAAGGACGACCCCAGCAAGCAGCACCGCAGGAAGTGACCCCCCAACCCCGCCCAGAGGGGCTTTCAATAAAAGCTTTTCCCAGTTCTGGATGTGCTCCAGGGGTTCTGTGCCTGCTGGGTAACGGGCAGAGGGTGATTCATACCTTCCTCCAGCTCCCTGGGATTTTCCATGCTGTGATGCAGCCCCGGAAGGCATTTTCTGGAGCAGTCTGAGCAAAACAGTCTGAGCTGCTTGGATGCCCCCCCCGAGCTGTCCTTGCTGGGTCAGGGAGGGACTCAGTGCACTTTGGGTCGAAACAGCTGAGGTTTGAGTGCCCACCGTGGGTTTTAGGTGGGCACGAGCTGCCCTGGGCACCTCGTTGGGTTTGGGGAGAGAAGCTGGGGTGGAGGAACTGGACAGAGAGACACGAACCCAGAACGTGTCCCCAGACCCCTCCAGGAGACCCTCAGCCCCCCTGGGGGTGGGCCTGTGCTGGGGGGCTGCACTGGAGGTCAACCCGAGCCCCCTGAGTTCTCCAGGGAGCCCCGGGGCCGCAGACAGGCAGGAATTTCCTGGGATGTGACCGGGAGCCACGGGGTTCCCCTTCCTCCTCCTCCCTGTCGCTGAGGCAGCTCCAGGCAGGTCTGGGCTGGTTTGCAAAAGGTGCAGCAGCTGCTCCTTGGCTTTTCCACAGGAACCATCCCAGATTTAAAAAGCCCTCACAAAGCCTCTACACCACTCCATGGCAGAGCAGATCCCTGGCAGAGCCTGTCCCCAAGGGCCCAGGTCCTCACTTGAGCCCTCAGGTCTTCCCTGAGCCCCTCTAGGTCCTTCCTTGATCCCCTCCAGGTCCTCCTTGAGCTCTCCAGGTCCTCCCCAAGGCCCCCATGTTCTCGTTGAGCCCCTCCAGGTCCTTCCAGCACCTGCCCAGCAGCTCCAAACTTTGCTCTGTCCCTTCCCAGAGTCTTTATGAAGAGCCCCAGGAGCTTCTGCCCCCTCCCAGTAACTCACACCAGTTTGCACTAATGAGGGGAGGAGGTTCAGGCTGGGGGTTTCTCCTGCCAAAATGTAAGGAAACCCCCGACCTGGGGTGTCTGAGGAGGTTTCACATCCCACTGAGCTTTGGAGCAGCCCGGAGCTTCATCCCCTGCTTTTCTCTCTCTGTTCCCCACAGCAGCAGGGGAGGGGGGGGGCACTCGGGAGCTTTGTCAGCCCTCAGCCACGTCTGGGGGGTTGGAAACTGCCGGTTCCTGGTGTTCTCCACAGCTCCTGACACGTGCCTGGGCCACGCAGGCACCGAAATAGCGCCGGGTTACACAACGGGGCGTTGTGACGCTGCCCTCGGAGCCAGGAAACAAAATCGCTGCCAGGAGAGTCAAAAACAGACAGAAAAACCCTCAGCACAACCCCCCCCCCCATGGACAGACCCTGCTGGGCTCCAGAATCCCTCGGGACGCTGCCAAAACCGTCGCGTGTGGCCCCACCTGCCCGTGCTGGCACAGGTGGGATGAGGTGCCCGCTGCTCATCCCTTGTGCCCGGGGATTCTCCTGGACCGGGAGGTCCCTGCCCAGCCCCAGGGGCACGTTTTGTTCTTTCTAACCCAAACCAACCCCCGGGAGCAGGAAAATTGTGGGGGGAGGGGGGCGGGCAGGGCTGCTCCCGGGCTTTCCTCTCCTCCTTTTCCAGCGGGCGCTGGATCGTTGGTTCCTCCCCGCCCGGGGCCGAGGGAGGTGGCCCAGGCGGGGCTATAAATCCCGTGGCCCGGCTCCGTCTCCTCTCCCGTCCTTCCCGTCCTCCGCTGTTCCCTTTGAGCTCTCGGTGAGTTGTATTTTCCCCGCGATTCCCCATCCAGCTGCTCTCCAGATGTTGCCGGTGGCACATCCCACAGCGGGGTCCCCGGCAGAGGTTTTCCCTCGGGAATGAGAGGGAGGTTCCTGCTGTGGGAGCCGAGTTCCAAGGCTGGATTTCACCTCTGAGGGCTGGAAAAGCACCTGAGCCCCTCCCCTGCCTGGCCTGAGCAGGAGGGGGCTCTGGCCCCCCCTTTTCCCCTCTGGCACGGCCTTTTTGGGGGTTTTCCAGCCCGGCTGGAAGCGGGAGGCTGGAATTAGGGAGGGAACGGTGCATCCCAGTGTGTGCCCAGGAATGAGGCACTAGTCTGGGGGTGGGAGATGCTGCTGCCCCCCAGCACGGGGAGGCCCCAAACTCTGCTCTCAGCTGTTTGTCTCTCCAGGTCTCCCGGTGTCCCCATGGCAAGTCCCCTGGAGCAGTCGCTGGCCGTGATGGTCGCCACCTTCCACAAGTACTCCGGGAAGGAGGGGGACAAGTACAAGCTCAGCAAGGCCGAGCTCAAGGAGATGCTCCAGAAGGAGCTGCCGAGCTTCAGTGTGAGTGGAGGGCAGCAGGTGCCACATCCAGGGGTGATTCCAGGACTGGGAATGTGGCCCTGGGTGTGAACCCCGATTTTAACCCCGTTTTTCCCCTGGGCAGAAACAAACCAGCGAGGCCAGTTTACAGCAGCTCATGAACAACCTGGACTGCAACAGCGACAGCGAGGTGGACTTCCAGGAGTACGCGACCTTCCTGGCCTGCATGGCCATGATGTGCAACGACTTCTTCCAGGACCTCCCGGACAAGATGCCGCGCAGGAAGTGAGCGGGGGAGCACCTTCCCCGGCCCTCCCCCTGTCCTCCTGATGCCATTTCAATAAATATCGATTTCAACCAAGTCCCTGCTCCCTTTGCCACGGGGGTCTCGTGCCTCAGGGATGGGGTGTTGTGGCCGTGGGTGAGACCCCGATTCCCTCCCGCGGGCGGGTTGCACGGACGGGGTGAGGAGTGGGAACGAGGGAGGCCCCAGAGTGGATTCTGCTCTGCCGTGGTGTGGACACCGCATTCCCTGAGCCCTCGGGAGCCGCCCGCGAGCCGAGCCCCGGCAGCCGCTCGGGATGAGTCAGCGGCGGGCTCTGAACGCGCCGCAGCCCCGAGAGCTGTTCACGGCCGCACAGAGCGAGGCGGGAGCTTTCCCAGGGATTAGCGGCTCCGGGAGCGGCAACAAAGGCTGAACGACTCTTTTTTAGCCGTAACTGCGAAGCTCAGGCAGAGTCAGCGTCTGACCCCCCGCCCGCGGGGCAGGACCCGCCGCACTGTCACGCAGGACCCTCGTCCCTTCCCCTCCCCAGTAAATCCTGAGCGGGGTTTCAGCCGCGTTCCTGCTCGGGGTGGGGTTGTGGAGCCACTTCCCCGTGCACTCAGCCAGCCCTCCTGGGCTGCCACCGGGCACACTCAGCCCAGGGCTATAAACTGGGAGAGCAGCCCCGGCCCCGCTCTGAGCTCGTCCTGCTCATGGTTCTACATCTCCTTTCCTCCCCCTGATCCCATTTTCCCCCCAGTGAAGAGCTTTGGCCATCTGGGCTTGTGTACCAGGCTCCAGATGTGCAACTTACCCCTTCCAGATGTGGGTGTCCCCTCCTCCACCCTGCTGGGAGCCTTCATGGGTCACCTCGGGCTGTGCCAGAAGCACTGGAGATGCCACAAAGGCTTTGGTTTGTCCAGCCCGGGCTTTGCCCCCCCCTTGGATGCCCCTGGGGTTGTGGGGGGGGGGGGTGGCCAGGATCCACCACAAAATGTAGAGCTGGGGAGGCTCATCCTGGAGAAAAGGAGGCTCAGGGGGGACCTTCTGGCTCTGCAACTCCCTGACAGGAGGGGGCAGCCAGGGGGGGTCGGGCTCTGCTCCCAGGGAACAAGGGACAGGAGGAGGGGAAACGGCCTCAAGCTGTGCCAGGGGAGGCTCAGGTTGGACATCAGGAGGAATTTCCTCCTGGAAAGGGTGGTGAGGCCTTGGCAGGGGCTGCCCAGGGAGGTGGGGGAGTGCCCAGCCCTGGAGGTGTCCAGGGCAGGACTGGCCGTGGCACTGAGTGCTCTGGGCTGGGGCCAAGGTGGGGATGGGGCACGTGGGTCCCCTTCCTGGCCCGTCTCCATCAGAAAACCTGTCCCTTTGTTTCCCTCTTTTGCAATTGAGGATTCTTTGGGTGCTGGTTCCGGGATTAAGAGGCTGACAGGGAGATGTTTCACCACCACTGTCCTTCCCGTTCCCCAAAAGCCTCCAGGGCCAGCCAGGGGCTGGGTTTGGGATGAGGGGCTCCCCATCAGCCCCCTCAAGACACGCAGGGTTGGGCAGTGGGAACACCAGGAGGTCTCCCATGTGTGGCAGCATCCCCCCAACACCGAGGGGCACAGCTGGGAGTCGGGAGGGTTTGCCAATGCCCTCGGTTGTCATCGGGCAGCAATTAGAGCTGCTGGGAAGTGCCACCTCCTCAGACCAGCTGGAAGGTTTCCCACACACTGGCATGCCCAGATTTGTACCCAGGATTGACTCCATGGAAATCTATGGACAAGTGATGCAGGGGGAATGCTCTCATGAGTTTGGAAAGGTGGATGGGGGGGGATGTGTTGGCCAACACCAGCAGCACGTTGAGAGGGGCCACCAAACCTCCATCCAGACTCAACAACAACGGGGCAAATGCAATGATGAACCTCATCCCCCATTGGGTAAGCCCAGTGTTATCCCACTGGAGACCCTCACAAGTGTGATCCAGACAAATTTGTCTCCCATCATCTCCACAGACCCCCCAAACTCTGCAGGAATGTCCCAACGCTGCATCATCACTGACCCCCGGTGACGGCTCCTCACAAATGTCAGTTTTGGTGTTTCCTCGTTTTGTCCTGATGAGTTTGGGGCGTCCCCTCCCTCGTTAACAGGGAGAGCAGCCAGTTCCTGGAGCCAAGAAGTCACCACCTGGGCGTGCTGAGCAGCCTTGCACAATTCCCAGGGTTGCTGCCCCGGAGGAGATTTGAGGGTGTCACAAATCGTAGCTCAGGGAGAGTATAAAAGAGGCGTCGTCTCATCTGCAGCATCACTTGCTCCTGCTCTCTCTGCTCCTCCTGTGCACTGTCTGCAGAGCCCAGAACTCCTCCAAGGTGAGTAGGTTCTTCCAAAGGGTGCCTTTGTGGTGCCAGAAGTGCCACTGGGATGGGCCAGGAGAGAGGCCAGTCCTCCTCCTCCAACCT